GATGACAAAGCTTCCTCCCACTGTCTGTGCAAAGCCGAAAAGATCCTGTCTGACACCTCCCATCCTGGACAATATCTTTTTAATAGGGGTGTAACAATTCATTTTGACAGTGAATCGAGTAGTATCATGATTCGTGGTTGCCAAGTCGATTCAAGGACAATATTGGTTCAATACGATCAATAAATATGGAACAATACGATCAATTAACTTGAAATCAATTCAGCAACTTTTTAGCAAAAAATCTTACCAGTGTGACTGTGAAATAAATACCTGGATACTGAACAGTGCAGGTCAAATTTCCTAGATTCCTGTTGTTACTTGTAAGGGAATCAGGTATAAATTAATTATGGTTAGTAAACAAAAATATAGAGCAAATGCATTCATATTTTGTTTGAATAAAGTGCAACCTTCACTCTAAGCTGAATGAACAGGAAATTAACCTTTTCTGTTTTCAATTTAAATATTCAATACATTTTTTATGAAAGTACGGTAAGTGTATCCAACATTTCTACTACTTCTGCTTTTCTTTTTCAACAAAAAGATAATACAGAATTTATATCAAAAATGAGCAGCTAACATCTCTTCAGGTTGCATTAACAGTAAGTTTTCCTGCTACTTCTGCTGTTGTTTTTCAGCAAATCAATAATACAAACACAACATACACTGGAGCGCAATGGTGGCTTGAAAATTTCACACTCTGTGACTTCTCCTCTGCCCTCCGCCATGCTGTGTTTCATTGTCTGCTGGTGCATGGCAATGATATCACAGACAGGTCAACTGAATTGAGTAACGCTAAATGTCTTTATTATTATTTACTATCATTATCCATGTACAGTCTGCCATGCTCAAATCTACTGGATTATTTCCTGGTGTCGATACAATTGACTTTTTACATTTTTAAATGATGTGATATGTCGTCCAGAAGGCCAACTTGCCAAACACAGATTTATGTAGTTGGATTATAGGAGTATAAATCGATACATCAGTGTTGTAGATGAATCATTACATCCCTACTTTTGATCCTCCTACCATCCGGCAGGAGATACAGAAGTCTAAAAAGCAGAACTAACAGACTAAAAAACAGCTTTTATCCATAGGCCATCAGACTCCATAATTCCTGAGAGAGGCCCCAAATGTGTAATTAGTACTGTGGGCAATAGCGCAATATGTCATTTTTATCATATATTTAGATTTTTTAGTCTATAAAATTGATTTTGTGCATTTCTTATGTCTTATTTGTTCTGCACTGATGGTAGATTGCTCAAACAAATGTCATTGTGTGTACAGTATGCAATGACAATAAAGGCTATTCTATTCTAGATGGCTGCTATATCTCTAAAAATCTCTGAAAATAGACATGAAGAAAAAGGCGTGCTGTTGTCTAACATAATGAAGGTTACAGGATAGGGACCTTTTTGCATAACCAGGGTCTTGACAAAAGCAGGCATGTCTTGTCTAAGACAACAGGCTACATCAAGTTTGTTGATGTAGTCTGGTGCCTTTGAACCTGCCCTGCACGGCCATGGTAAAAGCCACAGCTCTGAAATACCTGAATACCTGTCAACTGACTTCTGCGGAGGAGGACAGTATCTGTCAACCAGGTCACATTCTGAACACTTGACCAAATTTACAGAAGAAAGACTTTCTATTGGTGCAAAGAATAACCCACCTTGCTCCCAGTGTGTGTCCTCCACTGGTGGTCTTGAGTGTTGTGTGGTGGTGGTCAGAGCGACTGTTGGCGCAAACTGGCAGCCACATTTCCGTCAGTCTGCCCCAGGGCAGCAGTGACCACTAAGGTAGTTTCGTTGCCATTCTATTGGCAAAATGTGTAGTACTGTCCATTTCTCCACACTTAGCTTGGTATGATTGGTCAGCAAACACTTTGGCAGCAAAGGAATACACACTCCGAATTATTGTTCACAACGGCTCAAAGACACAAGTAGTGATAAATATGTGGCCACTATCCATTTGAAAGAAACTGTGTACCCGTTTCCTTTAGAAGCTATTCTTTGCACCAATAGAAATTCTTTCTTCTGTAAATTTGGTCAAGAGTACAGAATGTGACCTGGTTGACAGAGACTGTCCTCCTCCACAGAAGTCAGTTGACAGGTACACTCAGAAATCTCACACATGTTAAACTTTTCCCACACCTTTTCATATCAAGAAACTGTAGGCTAAAGATTCAAACTAAGACAGTCCCAGAACGGGGTCAAATAACAGAAGCATCAAAGTGCTAGAAAAGACAAGAGGTGAAGAAAATTTGAAAAAACAGCACAAATGTGAACGGAAATAGGTCACAGTGAAGGAGTAAAGGGATTTGGTAAAAAAGAGGGGAAATGTGGCAGAGTGAGTGAGAAAGTGGAGGAAGAGCAAACAGAACAAGGGACCTGAAAAAGAAACAAACCCACACATGCTGCTGGTGAACTGAGATTTTTTTGTTTTTTATCTCTGCTCTGAGGGGGAGGCTGGATGTGTGCATTTGTGTTTGCTTGTGCAGGGAATATAAAGAAATAAAAATACATGTGTGGATAAACTTGGATGTGCATCTATATTTATATCTCTGTGCTAAAAAATGTAATCCTGCTACTGACTGCAGGCACAGTCCTTCAATTTACACAGTCTCCTGCCCTGGTGTTCCAGGTCGCTGGTTTTTATATAAAATGGGGGGGGGGGGGGGGGGGGGTTCTACAGGAGATGACACTGCAGATGTGAAAGAGATTATGGACATGCAATTTTGTGCATTGACATGCTGAAAGGAACATGTTTATTGAACTTTCGTATGTTAAGGTGAACAGAAAACTGAGTAACTTGCAACTAATAAATAAAAACGTGTAGACACAAAGTTGCACAGCTTTTAGGATTTAGTCTTTGTGTTTGTTTCTTCTGTGTTTCTTTACCTTAAGCTTTTTAATTTTAGCATTCAAATTAATCTGACCTGACATGCAGCTTTTGTAATCTACACTTGCACACCCCCACCATCCTAGAGCAGCGCAGACTGCTAATTTTTCATAAATTGTGGCTGTTTTTAAATGCTCAATTTTGGTTGGGTTGTTGAAAACACATTTTGGTGTGAGAATTTGAGGGCACACATCTTTTGCTTCACATTTCATCTGTCCAGATTCAGCACCGTCTCTGTCTAAGTCACCGCTGTCAACTAGCAGTTGTCTGCTAGACGAGTCTGGTCACTCAGTGATTGACTCGTCAGGGCTCCTCCACAAACAACACTCTTGAAAACATTGGGTTAAAAACAACCCAATTTGGGTAGTTTCCACACATGCTGGGTTAATTTTACCCAACTGATTGGGTAAAATATTATACTTAATATAATATTAAAATACATTAATGCGTCAGATTTTATATAGCACTTAATCAGAGACCCTCAAAGCGCTTTACATTAGAGACATCATTTATTCGCTCACACAGTCGCACACTAGTGGTGGTAAACTACCTAAGTGGTCACTCCTGCCCTGGGGCAGACTGACGGAAATGTGGCTGCCAGTTTGCGCCAACAGTCGCCCTGACCACCACCACACAACACTCAAGACCACCAGTGGAGGACACACACTGGGAGCAAGGTGGGTTAAGTATCTTGCCCAAGGACACAAAGGACAGACTTGGTTAGTGGGGAAACAAATTTTCCAACCTCCCGATTATTGGACAACCACTCTACCTCTTGAGCTACTACCGCCCCTTAAGAGTTTTAGAGTTGTTACGCTCAAACTTTAGAATTTGTAAACATTTGTCAGTTTTCTTTTTTTTATATGGTTTTCTTTCTTTAGTATTCAAGCCTTATTCACTCTAGTTTATGTTTCATAGTCAGCACAGGATTTTTTTTTTTTTTTTTCAGACTACAGTATTGACCCTTCTCATTCGTGTCAACCTCTTTGAATGACTTTTGTGAACTTTTGCGAGACAATGGACAGGTTATTAATGATCATGAGTTACAATGTACTCTCTCTCTGTCTCTCTCCTCTCTCTGTTTGTGGCTTCATCTCATACACTCTTTCCTCGGTGGTGTTCGGCAGCTTCTTCTTCGTTGGTCAAAAGTTTGGCTAACTTTAGCAGGAAGAATGAACTCTTATCTCAATGCAACATTAGCAATACAGTTATATCATGCAAAGGAGGGTAAACGACCAACATGATTAAACACCTCAGGATTCATGGAGGAGAAATACCCGAGTGCCCGTCTTTGACGCGCTTCGCCAGTGTTGTGCCATAGGATGCACCCCTGCTGTAGAATGCACCCCTGACGGGAGCGCGGTTGAAAGTCCACAACAAGGCGAAACAATCCAAGTTTTCCTTATCGTTGAACGGAATCTAAAGCGTGTGCCTTTAATGATTTCATTCAGACTATTCAGATAAGATGATAACAACCGCCCTCTGATTCGGAATATTTACTGTCCCGAAAATATAATGTTCTCTACCTTAACAGCTTACTGTACAGTTTATATACCCAAGTACACCTCTATGTGTGCATTTTTGAGACGCATAAAAACAAATCGAAAGTTTACTGCTCCATTTGACATGTTTTCATGATCTAATACTCATGTTTCTTTTAAGTATGAGATCCTTGTCTTCACTTTTAAAAAGCTAATGAGTGGCGGGGAGGCATTCTACGGCAGGGGTGCATTCTACAGCACAACACCTGTCTTCCGCTAACCAGTCAGGATCAGATAAGTGAAACAATAAATTACTTCTGTCCTCTGCTAACTTTGAAGCGGTAAACAAATTGTGCTGTGTACGGTGAGTAAACTTAAATATCCAACTAACGTAAGCCCTTATACTTTTTAATAGACAAACGACCTGAGAACAAAAATTAATATTTATATACTGGTTGAAAATAACCCTGTGAGAAATTCATAGTAAAGTTCTTAAAAAGTTAATATGATTTAAAAATTCATGGAGAAGTTCAGAAATTTCGCCCAAATAGAAGAGCTCCGGTTAGCACCCTCATCCAACCTTTGCTTTTTTTTTTTTTTTAAGACCTGCCTTTTAAAAGAATCGAAATAGAGAATCGATAGGAATCGGAACCGAAATGAGGAATCGAAATCGGAATCAGAATCGTTCAAAATCAAACGATACCCAACCCTATCCTCAACTGACACAAGACAGCCTAGCAAGATGCAAACCATTTTCGGTCCAGTTCAGCTCCGTGACCCACTTCCATCCAAGTCAAAAGACCTAACACCGGCAGAATTTGCCTTAGTATTTTCACTGTTCCGTGACACCATCTGTTCAGTTTTTCCATCTCGACGGTTATCTCTCTATAATCCTACACATGGCCCTGCGTTTTGGCGGTACAGGCTTTTACAGCTATCACATGCACTCCGCTAACCAGGCAGCCGGCCGCATCCAGCAGGTCAACCAGATCACATACTGGGGCACACTTGACTCTGAATTGTATTGCCAAATCTTTGCCGCCCGCACCTCCCTCTCTTGTGAGCTTTGCCCCCTCCCTCCCTGCTACAGTATGCATTGTTAGCGCTTAGACATTCGATTAGGCCTGCACGATATATCGTTTGAGCATCGTCATTGCGATGTATGTGTGTGCAAAAGTCACATCGCAGAGCATGCGATGTCGGAGGTGAATGAACTCATCTAATTTCAAGGGTAGCCGACTGAGATACACTGCATGTGACTCTGCATGTGCTTTGCAGCGATCCACCAATCACCTTCGTTCTTTACTCAGTTGCCAATCAGACTCAGTTCTCAGTTGCCAATCAGACTACACTGCCAGCTGTCAATCAAAATCAGAGAGGAGGAAACCCACCCCTGCACATGTCCTGCACATGGAGTGAGTCGCTGGCGCTACCGGAGTTGAGCCGAGAAACGCGTGTCCGCTGAGAATTACCTTCAGAACATTACTCATCACTGTTTAGCCCAACAAATAAGAACCGTATGGGTTTTAAATTGTACATTTCCCTGGACCACTCTACTATAAGCAGTGCGCATTTTATGAGGTGCATGCAATTCTCTGAGGACATTCGTTTCTCAGCTAAACCCCGGTATCAACAACAACAACGATCGCAAACTGAGCAACAAACAGAGAAAACCACAGAAGATGAAGACTTGTTGCCAAAAAGAAAAGGAAAGTCAGTTATCTGGAACTATTTCGGTTAAAAGAAGGATGATGTTGACCAAAACACGTGTTCTGTGTTCATCTGTTGCCACAATAACGTCCCAGCACAATAAAAGCTAAAAATATCTCTGAGACAGACAGAAGCCATTCTACTAACATTTACAAAAAGAGGTAAGATCAGTGCAGGTTAACTGTCCTCAAAATTTCAGCAGTGCAGCATAGCATAAAGTGCTATTCAGGTCATCTGGTGAAAATTCCTGTATTTTTTAATATCGCAATATATATCGCAGCGTTGAAAAAAATCACAATGTTGGTTTTTTCCAATATTGTGCAGCCTTACATTCAACCCGCCGTTAATGTCCCCATGCCAAAAGGGGTCGAGAAGAAAGGAAGGCCCATCCTATACCAAGCCAGAAAGATGGTTTGCAATAACTTCAACCACCTTGGCTGAACCCTCTCCAACTGTCGCCTCCTACACGTCTGCTCCACTGCTGGTATGCGCATGCTAGGTGCACCTGCCCGCATAACCCAACTATGCCCACCAGCTGTCTAACACAGCACCTCAGCTCACCCATTAAGGTAAACACTCTAGCTGCAGCTTTAAAAAATCACCCAGACAGAGAGTTTGTCAACTTCCTTCTTAACGGCTTCACTCACAGTATTCGTCCTGGCATAGACATTCTCCCCGACACTTCACATACCTGACAAAACCTTCAGTCTGCTCTCAAGGAACCCAACACTGTTGATTCCTTGCTAGCAAAAGAGGTCAAAGAGGGATTCATGATAGGCCCATTTAAAGAACTACCTTTCCCCGTGTTTCGGGTCAGCGCCATCAGCATAGCCACCCAAAAATACTCCGGCAAAAAGAGGATGATCATAAACCTCTCCTACCCCCATGGTTCACAAATCCCCAGCATTAACAGCTTCATCCCATGCCCTGATTTCTCAATGCAATATGAATCAATCGATCATGCTATCACTCTCATCCGTCTTGCAGGCCAGGGAGCTTGGCTCTCCAAAGCAGACATCACAAGCGCATTTAAAGTGCTACCCATACACCCCAACTTCTGGTGTTACTTTGGTGTCTGCTGGAAAGGAGCCTATTACTATGCAGTGCGCCTCACTTTTGGTTGCAGAAGCAGCCCTAAGATCTTTGACTCCCTCTCAGAAGCACTGTGCTGGATTCTCACTAACAATCACAGACTCCCATTCGTTCTACACCACCTAGACGACTTGCTTGTCATCATTCCACCATCATCCCCTCCCAAGTTCGGACTCATCACCCTCACAGACTGCTTTTCAGAGTTTGGTGTACCTCTTTCAAAAGAAAAAAACTTTTTAGGTATTACTCTAAATTCAGCTTCCCTCCAAGCATCTCTACCTCAGGAAAAGATACAGCGCATCACCCTTTTCCTCTCTATCTCCTAGCAGCTAGATGCACCAAACGCCAGTTACTGGCCCTCCTTGGTCACCTCAACTATGCCATCCGAATTATCCCTCAGGCAAAATCTTTCCTATCCAATCTCCTAACAAAAGCTGCAGCAGTCCCCTCCTTGCATGACAGAGTGGTCTTGGATGAAGCATGCAAAATGGAGATGTACATGTGGCAACATTTCTTGTCCTGTTAGAACGGCATTTCTTTCTTCTACGACGATTTCATAACCCAATCAGAAGACATCCAACTGTTCGCAGACGCAGCTCCCTCTATAGGTTTTGGAGGCTACAACAGGGGGAGATGGTTTGCTTCCACCTGGCCTTCAGAACTAAAAGACCTCGACTCAAAATCCCAGTCTCCTTCATCAGCCCTTCATGAACTCTACCCCATCATCATTGCAGCCTTACTTTTGGGGCAAGAATGGTCAAGAAAATCTATACTCATACACTCAGATAACATAGCAGTCGTAGAGATCCTAAACAAAGGCAGATCTCATTCCCCATCAATCATGCAGTTTCTGCGCAGACTCACACTAGTCTCAGCTCACCATCAATTCATTCTCAGGGCAGCTCATACTCCCAGATACCAGAACAACATTGCTGACGCTCCGTCGTGCTTCTCTTTCCAGAAATTCAGACATCTGGCCCCAGAGTCTGATCCACATCCCTCACCAGTCCCACCGTTTTCCGCCACAGCATTCAATGAACTCCCCAGCTAATAAACCTCACTCATGCCTCACAAGACGCAATTATCAAAAGTCTTGCTCCCAGCACTCTATCTGCTTACCTGACAGGTTGGAACTGCTTCAAGTCCTACCACTCTGCATTACAGCTGCCCTTCCCATCTCTGGACGTCGTATCCATCTGCAATTTCATAACTCATACTCACACCATCCAAAATATCCGATCCTCGACCATTCAAACCTACCTTGCTGGCATCAATTTCTTCCTCAAACTTATCACCGGCTCTCAATGCACCGCCACCCCCCACTCTCACATAACCATGCTAATCAAGGGTTTAAGAAAACAGGAACTTACCATCCCCATTAAGCGCCAACCACTCACCTCTGACTTACTCAGCCTCTGCATTCGTAACTTACGTTCAGGCTACTCATCCCCAATGGTCGATTCTACACTAGAATCAATGTTCCTGCTTGCCTTCTTTGGTTTCCTTAGATGCTCTGAATTCGCTCTGACCTCTTCCATCTTCAATCCATCCTATCATCCCAGACTATCAGACATCGCAGTTCACACATCAGCTCAAGATCTCTTTTCCTATTTACATCTTCCGCTTAAATTCTTACCTCAGTCTGTTCGAAACACTCACCAAATACATCAGCTCCAGGTATGCAGCTCAAGCATCACTTCACGACCCTCTTTTCCTTACTGAAAATGGAAAAATGGCTACACGATTCTGGTTCCATAAACACCTGCATCAAGTCCTCCTCATGTCAGGCATAACATCAGAGCACTACTCAGCCCATTAATTCGGCATCGGCGCAGCATCCACAGCAGCCAGGCATGGCATATCAGATCGAACAATTCAAACCTTCGGACGATGGTCATCTCAGGCTTTCCACTCCTACATCCGAAATAATCTCCACGATCTGCGTCAGGCCCACACTCAGTTAAGCTCCTTTTCATTATTACTCTTTGGGGGTTGGACTAAGCTTGGGCAGAGCTACACCTGAGACGGAACCCCCATCCTGAGTCTCTCACTGTCGGGCCTCTACAGAACCTCCCAGACCAACCAGACATGCAACACTCCTCATCAACCTCATTAGCCATCAAAACATACGCACATCAGACAAGATACACACACTCCTGAATTTGTATTTTGTATTCAAACCTACATTGTTGTAGCGTGGTCATTGCTAGTAAAATGAAGTTAATGTATTAACTAAGGTTCAGGAGCAGGACCATGCCTCACCACACCTTTAATCACCTGACTAGCACCTGACTCACCTGACTAACTATTTATACACAGCCAGCCCACTACACTCTGTTTGTCTGCAATTCTCTGACCCACCCTCCTCCCTCTCTCTTTCACATGAACTCTTCTACTACCTCTCTACTTCCGCCTTATCACGATTATTGTGACCAAAATTATCACGGTTATCAATATTATCACGGTATTGTTGAAATATGTTCAAAATGTCTTAAAAGTTCTTATACACACCCTGAAATAATTTTAAAAAGTTTTATTAAAAAAAAACCCAATCAGAATAACATGTAGAATGAGCTTTTCCTTAACCTTAAATAACAGAGGGACAATAAGCTTCAGAAATTAAAGTAGAGGCCTTAAAAGAGCCAGAGGTAATCAACACCAGCACTAGTAATAACAAAGTACAAAGTAATGTGCCAGTGGCATAAACATTAACATCATAACCAATAAATGAAATTAAATAAAATGACATTCCTTATTGTGCAAATTGTAAGAATCTTCAGTGCTCAAAAAGATCTACTCTAACAAATATATAACAGAGCAACACTACTATATGAAACAATACAACCACATGTAAACAAATGTGTAGTGCAGGTGTGAAATAACATCAAATATGTAAACAAATCAAATGGGCCACACCGATTGTACATTTTATCCTGTATAAGGTGCTGCTGCTGACTTTGTTCACTACTTGAGATGGAAATGTAAAAATGGCAGCATATTAACTTTGTCTGGTTTGTGTTGTAGGAGGGGAAATGATGTGCCTGCTGGCACTGAATAGCCTCTTGGATGGCATGCTGGTTGATGGGATGCACAAAAGCTTCTTCATCGCCGTCGGTAAGGCTGTCACTGTCGCCATCCAACTTTGAATGGGTAGCGTCCTGCTTAGTGTGAGGTGACGTCATCACCCTGTAGACTAAATTTTGGGTAACCTGTTGCCTCAGCTTCCTCATTTTGTTGGCATTTAGCCTATTATGGTTTAAATAATTTATTATTTTGTGATTTGAGTGTTTGTATGTTTTGTTTCTTCGGTTTGATTAATTTATTTTTTTTGTTAGTTATTAGTATTTGGTTTATTTGCATGTTTGTTTGCTTGGTTTGGTCATTTCTAAATATGGTTGAGTTAGTTTCTTGTATTTGTTGTTCATTTCTGATTTAACCAAAATTTGCTAATTGCACATCAATTTTATGGGCAATATTGTTGCTATGGTTTAGAGAAGTGTGTGTGTTTGTGTGTGAATGAGTGTGGATGAAAGAGTGAAAAACATTTCATTGACTTTGTTTATTGGTGAAATTGTTAAATAGAAATCAAAGGTATTTGTACACTGGACCACGGCCTCCCGTCTTCATTGGCAGATGAACCTGTGTGTGCCCTTACACTACATTAAGAGGTAATTCTACTCTCCAGGTGAAATTCCTGGGGTGGCGTTGTTGGCAACAAAATCAATTTCGTAGTTGGTAATCAGTAGTTGATTAGTTAATTGGTAAAAAGTTGTTACAGTATTTTACTATATATGATTCCATTCTCCGTCAACCCCGCCCCCGGCTGTCACATTATGAAAGAACTTTTCTTACTATTTGATACAATCACTGAGATCTTGGAGGGTAGCGAGGCTCTGGATGAAACTTTTGATGTGTGGACTCATGTTTCCTCATCTTCAGTGTTGCCAACATCTCAGTAAGGAAAGTCACTAGTGGCTGTTGTAAAAGTCAGGAGGAGGAGGAGTCTTCCGCAGGGTGTCTGTCTGTATGTGTCTGTGTCTATGTTTTTGATGCACACCAGCTACCTGTTGAGAAGAGTAACATCCATACCTGCATTCATGTTGGAGTCTCTAAATTTGTTGCTTGGTGCTTTTTAAAAAAAAAAAAAAATAAGTCACTGGGGGGGTGGGGGGTCTGAAAAGTCGCTAAATCTAGCGACAAAGTTGCTAGGTTGGCAACATTGCTCATCTTCCTGTTAGGCTATTTAGTTGGGATGTGTGTTCTGGTGTTGAAAATGAGATGCCTCTGTTCCACAGGAGCATTAATATAATCATTTGAGGGGAAAACAGTTATCTTTTGACCTATAAAGACTCAACAGTGTATTTTGATGACTACTTACAATAAACACATTTTGTATTGAGGGAACCACTGATGTTTCACTTAGATGTGAGTAAATGACTTGTACTCCAACATTGTGTGAATGCAGAACAGTTGAGAGTTTATAACTTTTTGATGTACCAGCAATACACTTTTGTTGAGCAAGTTTGTCTTGTGTTTCTTATTCTTGTTAATTATGTGGGGTAGATGGTTCTAGAAAGTGCAGTGGTAGGGGGTAGTGGTTATTCACAAGATTCTACACTGTTGAGGGTTGATTGTAGTACACCTGAGAGCATTAGTACACCAAAGTGAAGTGCAATCTGGAAGAGTTTTTTTTCTGACAATTACATTAGTGTTGAGTAGAGTTGACACTATTCATTTTTAACTCTATATAGTGTTAAAATAGACATGGATAAATGTTAAACAGTTAACACTTTGAAAAGTGTTGATTTAACATTCAAAAAGTGGACACACAAATATGGCTATTACTTATTACTGAAATGTCTGTGCTTTATCAAAGTCAACAGGATCTATTTTTTCACAGGAAAGATTGGAGATGTGTGATATGTTGATAATTATTGGCTGATTAATAAAAAGAAATTGCAGTCTAAGTCTAGAACTGATTTTTGTTTAATTTTGCAAAGTCATTTTTTGAAATAGTTTCGACTGGCCTTCAAGCTAATTTTTCTTATTTTCCTGAATTATTTTAAAGTAGCTTTTGAACACCACACAGTGGGCCCAAAGTCATCCTCTGAAACAAAGTTTTACAGTGAGACCAAAGGGGCATTCAAAGGATCATTTAGGCGCATGTCTTTGCATTCGAGCCTGTGTGCTGTGACTCCCGGTCCATCTTTTGTCTGACTTTGGTCCTCTTCTGAGCCAAACCTCTCAATCCACCAGTAGACATTTATTACAAATTCAAATCGCCACACCAGCTAGAAGCTAAAAGTAAAGGATTTTCTTAGTACTTGGTGTACTTCATATAAATTCAAGCCTGTCATTGTTACTTTCAAGGCAAGAGTAATTACGAAGATCTCAAGGGAGTTAAAGTTATTACCATACTAAACAGGTCATAACATCTTATCATACAGTTATAACGGGCAAAAGTTAATTTTTCCCTTTTTTTTTTTTTTTTTTTTGGTACTTCAGCTGTTATTTCTCTAAAATTACTTTGTAATTACACTGGCACAAAGGAACAAAGTTTTTTTCTTAGGGTTCTCTTTTATTCACTCAAAAGGCACCAAAAGGTTGTGAGCTGTTGATGATAGTAGCATGTATCTCCTGGCTGCTGTTGCTGTTGGCTGTTATCTGCTCACCATGACTTACACAACAACATTGACCACCACTGAGCAAAGACCATCTGCAGCCTGATACCACAGACAAACAACAGAGCTCCCCTCAGGAGGAACAGCAGGCCCTGAGCCCTCTCGCTGTTTCATCTTGATTAGCATTTAATTTGGGGTTTTTCCAGGGAAGCTGTTGAAGGCAGAGAATCAAATAGTACTTCTATAAAAAACAAACAGATATCATGCCATGTCTTAAGGTCAAATGCATAAAACAACTCAGAATGGCTTTTTTATTTCCAGCTTTTACACAACAAGAGCTCTTACACATGTATCTATCTGTCAGATATTTAAGTCTATTCTTTAAAGTGACTTCAGGTGAATAATGTTAGGCAGTCACACCTCAAGTGAAGCATAAGACCTGAAACTGACCTTTACAGCTGATGAGACCAGCTTGGATCTCAAAATGCACCTACTCTGTATGTGGTCCCTTCAGTGATTGTTCTTTAGTGTGTGTGTGTGTGTGTGTGTGTGTGTGTGTGTGTGTGTGTGTGTGTGTGTGTGTGTGTGTGTGTGTGTGTGTGTGTGTGTGTGTGTGTGTGTGTGCGCGCGCGCGTCAAACCTGCCAGCAGGAACATTGAGTGATTTGATTCAAAGAGACTTTGAGGATTAAAAAACCCACATGTTGCCAGCAGCGACAGATTGGGACTCTGACTGAGAACAAGTGTGTGTGTGTGTGTGTGACAGAGGCTGTGTGTGTTCAGTGCTCTCACACTCACTGCAGCACAACTACAAAAGCAAAGAAACATAACAACAGCGATACTTGCAAGTCTTTCTTTGTATTGATTTATGACCATGCGAGGTCTTATTAGAATGATGAATGATGATACATGTTCTTCAGTGCATAATGCAAGTGCACAAGAATCAGGGTGTCCCAATAGGCCTACAACTTTTTTACTTCCGATACGAAACTGATATAGTAGCCTTCAGGATTGGCTGATACTGGTATTGATCTAATCTTGGCACAAATTTATGCATGAAAAGTTTTGCACTCAGCTGCAATGTCTTTTTTGGAATTAGTCAAAAAACACTGCTGTACAGCTGATATCACCCCTACTCTGTGCTACTTTGTTAGTACCCCAGTACACAAGACACAGTTTTACGGAACTTCTCAGTTAAACAAGTCTCACTTTCTGAATTCTTCTTTCAAGCACCAGGAAAATACATCTGCATTTCTGACCTTCTTTCAGTGTGAGACCAACACTGTATTGTTGGTCGTGCCATTGCCTCTTTTGAAACTTGAAAGCCTATCTTGGCATGTTAGAATAAAGTCATAACTACTGACTGTGTGCTCTGCATCATGGTCTTGCTTTGATATATATATATATATTTATAGATGATAGATAGATAGATATTCTGTTTGATATGTTCTGATGTTTGAAGCCTTTTCAGCAGTTTGCCGAATGTTTTAAGTGATTTGTGACTGTGAGAGTGTGTCCACACAGAGAGACCAAGACAAATACCTCATAATCACACAATGTTGTTTTCTAAGTACTGTACATGTTATCTCCAATTACCTTACACTTTGAGAACATACTAAACTCAGTTGGACTACTTTTAAATTCAGAAAACTATAACAAGCACAAATGGAGGATACTGTACAGACTGAAAAACCCCTGGGCAAGGAATCAATCTGTGATATACTCTCCCTGAGAGACAGAATGTTATTGAGCGTGTTTGCCAGGCAGAAATGTACTATAAGAAACACAGTGGGGGTTGGAGAAACACATCACAATGAGTACAAGAATACTGCTCGCAGTGAAAATGTTCGACAGGCTGCAGAGGCTTACACCTACTGATGCTGCTTTTTAATAGATCCCTAATTTATCATAGAAAAGCAAAATCATATAATTAACTTATAATACACATCTTATGATCATTAAGCATCAAACATATATGTATCCAGAGCAAAGGCACTCATTCATTAAAAGCTCACAGCCCCAACCAGCTTCTTCTCTATATTTCAACCAATTGGGAAAGAAGAAGGGCAAGAAAAACTTTGTACAGGGCTCATCATACAGAGTTTACACTGGTTTTGAAGTAAAGTTGTTCAGTCTTCAATTTAGGAACAAAAAGCCTGTAACTACCTGAGATTAGGGAGTAAACCAAAAGGATCACTGCTTTCCCCAAAGTGTTATGAGTACAAAGTTGCAGGAAATCCCTTTCAAATTGAAATGAAATGCATCTGGAAAGAAACAGAAAACAGACACTGATTTAAGTTTGAAACAACCAATCCAAACAAGAAATGCATAAACTGTAAATAAAAGTCACCAAAACTAAAATATCACGCCTTTAGTAATCAATGTTGAATGAAAATCACAGAAAACGCCACATACAAATAATTAAGCTACTAAAAAAACATTGATTTTTACCAGTGATGTCTGGACTTTTCTTTTTACGCACGCACGCATGCTGAGAGCTGTGTACCACAGCCCTCTACAGGGATCATGAAACAAAGAGCTCTCTTGACCTGGGGCCTTATGTATCAACGTTTGCGGAGCAAGAAAACCTTGCGTACGCCAAAATCGGTGCACACGTCCAGATTTATCATCGCGAAATGAGCGTCGGTTCCAGCGCTAATCAACGCAAAGTCAGGAGGTGGTGTAGAAATTGGCGGTGAGCAGATACTTGCGTTGACTGTGATTCGCACTTTGGCGACGCTGTGTGGCAGTGTTTGGTGACTCACTATGTGACAAGCGTGCACCACATCCCCGTGGCTGAGCAGCACGTCGCCCCACATGACGAACCAGCAGCAGACGGAGGGATGCGAGCTGATCCCTGCCGGGCTGCCATCCTCGCGCGGGAGAATCTCATCGCCACAGTGTGAATGGGTAAGAAGTGAATACACAGTTCAATGAGCCAAATTAATTTATTTTCTCCACCAGACGCTCGAGGACATTTACGAGCCGGTCCAGCCGCTCGTTGATCCCCGCGATCCCCCTGATGATTTCTTCCTGCGATTGCAGGACCCCCTCCGCGAGGACCCTTCCACTGCGTCCGGGTGGTCCAGCGGAAGCGCCGCGGCTGGTGGACGCTCCACCGCTTGCCGGCGTGCTGGTGCTGATGCTGGTGCTGGGGCCGGGGTGGCCCGAATGCCGCTGGTCCTGGCCGACGACTCCGAGCCGGCGGACGGGCTGCCGCGGGCCGGGGTTCCGCAAGCCGTCGACACGGCCGACGCATTGATTTCTGTGACACAATAAAAATATTTGTTCATTTCAATTCCTGCTTCTGTGTATCTGTTGCGTTTACATCTCTCCATGGTATCATAGGTAATGTAATCCAGTATTTAGAGGTCAGTTATGCACATTACAGTTGTTTATTGCATAAAAAGTTATCGAAAAAGGAAGTTAAGGGCGAAGTATAAATCACGTCTAAAAATAGACTGAATCCCGACGTTGAAATGAAGTATAAACTTAGACTAGACGTCTAATATACGCCTTTTGCTCAGTGGGATGACAAAGCATGTGGACATTTGTGTGACACGCCACTTACCCTATAATAATAATCGCCACCACCCGCTGCTCAAACGGTGTGAGGGTCTCCTCCCCCGGACCCCCCACCTGTCTGGCTGGTAGGGCAGCTGTACGCCGCTTGACCTCCACCTTGAGGTCCGACCACTTTTTTGTAATCTTCGCGGGGGTGCGTGTCTCGGAACCCACCGCATTCACCCTCTCGCAAACTTTCTCCCACTCCAAGCGTTTTCGTTTTGCACTGACGCCACTGGACAGGCTGCCAAACAAAACACGCTGTCGCTCCTCCACCTCCGCCACCAGCACCTCCACCTCGCACGCCGTAAATTTAGTTTTTCTTGTCATTTTGTCTGCGTGCGAGGACAGGGAGACCCTATTTAAATAAATCTGCATATTTATAGGAGGGCGTAACGGGGACGGGCCCAGTCACTCCGACATCTGCGCTCAATTCCACGCTGATTGGGATTTATCAAGGAAACACACGTGGATTTCGGCGCCCGCACACATTGATACATACGGATTTTTTTCAGCGTGACGGACCTTGCGTGCGCTCGTTTCTGGTATGAGTTCCACGCAAGTATTGATACATAAGGCCCCTGGTCTCCTAATGAAGCTGGCATGTCAGACCAGCTGCCGCAACTGGACATACCTGCAGCCAAAACTATTTTACTCTTACCCTGCACTGCCCATTCCAACTCTGGACTATATTTCAGTTTTTTACAATCATCCTAACACAAATTCTAATACCTCTGACACATTTCCAAAACTCTTCACACAGTTTGCACAACATCAGCCTATGAGGCTAATAGAATGAAAACATTTCTTGTTTGTTTGACACAAGCTGCACACAGTGGACACATTTACAAAATGTTTTAACCTCTCTTACAAACAACCTCTACCAAGGCCAAAACAATCGACTCTAACTCACAAATTTACAAATGTCTTTACTCAGTATGTCAGAGCAGATAACCTTGTGTTCTAAATGTAACCAACAGGCTAAAGTTGAAGGGAGAAGCACTTCACTTTAAAGATTCAATGACTCTAAATTATCATTGTCATTGAAAAGCAGCTGATGTAAATTAGTCAAACAATTGAAATCACAGCTGAGTACAATCACAGCTCATACATAAAAAGTTTGGTGTGGTGTGTTGGTTTGGGTCTGAAACTACAGGGCAATAGAGAATGGCAGAGCAAAGAAGAGTTGGCCAAGGGAGAGGAGTTGGTCAAGGGTGTGGAAATGGTCAAGGACAAGAAAGAGGGATTCCTGGAGGGAGAGGACCGAGAGGAGTGAGAATGGCGGTGTTCAACGAAGGGCCAGGACTCGGGTCCCTGATGAAATTAGGGCAACCATAGTTGACCATGTCATCAATCATGGCCTATCATGCAGAGAAGCTAGAGAAAGAGTTCAGCCTACTCTCAGCCAGGATACTGTGGCATCTTTTATCCGGGTTTTTTGAGAAACCAACCAATAAGATACATCATAAAGATATCTTCTATTGATCTATTTACAGTGTGGAATTTTACAGTAACATGTATTGTACTATGTGACTGTGTGCCTCTGATCCTTAATATGTTACTTTGTTCCTCCTCTCTGTAAGGATCCAATGTCTGCCTCACTCTGGGGGCAGGGGAAGGCTCCTAACTAAACAGCAGGAGCTGGCCTTTGTGGCCATGGTGGTGGCCAACAATGAAGTCAAACTCAAGGCAGTTCAGGTGAGAGTTCCTGAGCCATCAACCCAATTAGCCTAACATCCGAACATCCTAACATCCAAATTCAAACGATGCGCTTGAACTGAGAGGTTGCAACAAGTCTGGTCTCTCTGTATTATCTGTAATTTTTCCTTAATTTTTTTCCATATTTTTGTTGTCATTTTGTTGGCTGCTGATGGATACTTCTGGTGGGTGAAGAGTTTACTCAAGAGAAGAGCTCCTTTATTTGAGAAAAAGCAAATCTGGACAACAACATACAATTCCAGAGGACAACAAAAGCGACGAACTGGAGATATTGGTGAAGACTGAGAAAGCATACTGTGAGTGCAGTTTCCTGTGTTTTACTGAAACCTGTTGCATTAAAACAACTCGGACTCCAGTGTGGATCTACCCGGCCTCACTGTAAGGTCAGGCAGAGATGCTCAAGCTAGTGGCAAGAAGAAAGGAGGAGGTCTGGCTTTATTTGTCAACCAGAGATGGTGTAACCCTTTACATATAACTGTCAAGGAGAAGTTGTGTTGTCCAAATATTGAACTGTTGGCAGTTGCTCTTTGGCCATATTATGTTTCAAGAGAATTCAGTCATATCATGACAATAGTTGTTCACATCCCACCCAAATCAACTGAAGAAATTCCATGCAATCTTTTGCATAATAGTGTTACCAGGCTACAGACTCAACACCCGGAGGCACTGATAATAATATCAGGAGACTTCAACCATGTCACCCTCTCCTCTCACGTGACTGGATTCACACAGTTTGTGAACTGTCCTACCAGAGAGAACAAAACCCTGGATCTGCTGTATGCCAATGTCAAAGAAGCCTACAGAGCCACTGGGCAAGTCAGATCATAACTTGGTCTATCTCTAAACCTGTTACAGACCTTGTGTACTGAGGCAGCCTGTGACCAAAGTCAAAATAAGAAGATGGACACCTCAAGCCAGTGAAGCTCTAAGGGACTGTTTTAAATCAACAGATTGGAATGTGCTGCTGGAAACAGATGTGGATAGTATGAACACTGACAAACAGGTTGACTGCTTTACTGAATATATACATTTCTGTGGAGACACAGTTATACCCACAAAGACCGTTCGCTGTTTCCCAACAACAAACCCTGGATCACAAGAGACATAAATGCAGTCCTTAACCAGAAAAAGAAAGCTTTTAGAAATGGTGACAAAGAACGACTCAAACAAGTGCAACAAGAATTGGTGAGGAGACTGAAGATGGCAAAGCTGGAATACAAAAAGAAGATAGAGAGGATCTACAACACGGCAACATCAGTGAAGTGTGGAGAGGAATCAGTACCATCCCTGGACACAGCAATGAAAACAAAAGACAAGCAGTGGTGGATGATCTGGAAAGAGCTGATGAACTCAACCTCAACCACTCATTAGCCAATTGGTTAAACACAACACTCAGTGCACCAACATATGATTGCTTAAATGTAGACAGACCAATCAGTTTCAAGCACTATAAAAAGGCAACAGGTGAGTTCACCTGTCTTCAACCACGGTGGAATGAGGAAGAGTGAGAATGAGAGGAGGAATACAAAGAGAAGGAGAAGGAGGTAGAGAAAAAAGGTGAAGGCAGAGACTATGCCAGAGGTTGAGGCCAAGGTGGAGGTGGAGGTAGAGGTAGAGGAAGAGGCAGAGGCAGAGGCAGACCTGAAGCAGGAATACATGCTATAAGAAGGAGAGGACCAAATTGATCAAATGAAATTAGGGCAACATTAGTTGACCATGTGGTGAACCACAGACTGACGCTGAGGGAGGCTGGACTGAGAGTTCAGCCAAATCTTAGCAAATATACAGTGGCATCTGTGAGTAAGACATTTTAACAAGAGAACAGGTAAAAACAAATCTTTCTACTTAAGTTATTGACGACTTAGTATGTACCATATCAGCACTGCTCATACCATTTCCTGTGAGATTTTACAACAGATTACATGTATTTCTTTCCACATAGGATTTAGGGCCGAGAGCGACAAGGAGGAAGGCCTATTTTCACACAAGAACAAGAAAAAGCAATTACAAACGTGGTTCTGGCCAATAATGCAATAAGGCTCAGAAAAATTCAAGTCAACATCATTGGTGACAATGGCATTTTCAATAATGTTCATCAGGACCCTCTCTCAACACTGGCACGCATCCTGAAAAAAAGAAACTCCAAATGAAACAACTGTGTCGAGTGCCTTTTGAACGGAATTTGGAGAGGGTCAAACAACTGCGGCATGCATATGTGGAGGTATGTATTGTTCACGTTAGCACTGTGATGTTACACTCTGCACATGTAACCGAAATTTACTGTATGTTAGATCCATGCTAAACTACACAATCTTGTCTATCACTGTATTACAGAAAGTTTTACAGATGGATGCTGAAGAAATCCCACACAAGTCTATTGACATTGATGAAGCAGGGTTTAACCCCACAAAATCAAGAAGGAGGGGAAGAAACATCATTGGCCACAAGGCGATGATCAATGTCCCAGGACAGCATGGGGGTAACATCACCCTCTGTGCTGCCATTACACAGAATGGGGTCCTCCGTCTTGCCAGTGTGGGCCTTTATAACAGCTCACATTTTGACATTTCTGGACCAATTGCACAACATTCTCACAGTGGACAAAATACAACAGATGCAATGCATTGTCATCTGGGACAACGTATCATTCCACCGCTCTGCACAGGTACACAACTGGTTTCAGCACAATCCTCAGTTTTCTGTGCTATACCTTCCACCATACTCTCCATTTCTGAATTCAATCAAAGAGTTCTTCTCAACATGGCGGTGGAAGGTTTATGATCTCAAAAATCTCCTAAGAAATTGACACTACAGACATTCAAGGATAGATTTGACATGCACAGTGGTTCTTCCCTCGTTGTCTTGCTAAGATGCCATCTGTGATGTCGATTAAATTCTTCGGCCTGAGCTAGCTTGGCAAAGAGATAATGCTTCTGGATTTTCTTTTCTTTTTTTTGTCAGATTTTTTCCTTCATATTTTCTTATAGTCATTTTTTTGTTTGTGTGTGTAATTTTTATTTTATTTTTTTAGTGTTATGCACACCACTGTTGTAGCATGGACATTGTTTGTTGAAATTTTGACTGATTTAGGTATATAGAGAAAGATAAATTATATTTTCATCATCCTGCAGCATTGGTCTTATGTTGTATTTCGTGGATTTTCTGTATTGTGTATTTGCACCTTCTTTGTGTAATTCACTTACATTACTCAAATCACTGAGAAGTTGAATTGCTGAAAGTATTTTAGGTTAAGCATAGCAGTGTGTAACTGATTCAGACAGAATTAAGTCATATGAGACGTGTGTTTTCATATGGTAACAAAATATCATTTTTATAAAGTAGTATATAGTTTAATTTTGTGTTTAATTTTGCAAAGGATCTGAGGTGTTCTGCTAATTGTGTGTAGTGTTTTGAAAAACCAAGCCCTCTATTCAAAATTGTGCTTATACACTTGCAAAAAAACTGTAACCTAATACCTTCAGTGCGATAAAGATCAAATCGCAAAACTCAGAGCATCTTCCTTTGTGAGTCTTTTGAGTCAAGAATTAGCTTGATTTTAAATTAATGTCCTTCTCTCTTGCTGCCTTCATTGACTAAAGTGTGAAGACTTTTGTAACCTGTAAATGTACTGTCAACTTTATTTTATTATTTAAATCATGGGCCGTGCCCTCTGTAATATGATCTGACAGATGACCTTGTAGAAACAATGATAGTAGATTGTACTTTATAGAGTGTACATAATGATAATCTTTTTTTATAGTTAATTTACCGAAGCATGAAGTCACAATGCACGGTCAGTGGTTCAGAAATTGCTGTTTGTTTTGTCTCCCTGATAGAGGATCCTCAGCAGCCCCCCGTGCATACAAAGAAACCTTGACTGATGGTCTTGACTACTACATTTAGTCTATGAAGTGAGGAGGCTTTTCTCTCTGTGCGTCTCTGAGTTTAGCTCAGCCTCTTAATCTCTGATTCACACTCAATAGCTCTACCATAAAATCCACCCAAACCTGTGGACTTCTTTATTCTTTTTGACAATTTCAAGTTTGAAAGTATAGAAATCTTTAAATAAAGCTTGAGTGTTTCCCCAAACTTGACTCCCAAAAGTTCCTGTTGCTAAAAGGCTCAAGGCCATTTCAGCCAAAAAAGGCACAGCAGGTTGACAGCATTACCTGGAGAAAAAGAAAAAAAAAAGTTTTGTAAGTTTTATTAACAAGAGCAGAAACTTACTGCAACTCTTACAGGCTCACACTATATTTTCCTGGTGAAATTCACAAAATACTTAAAACTTGTTAAAACTTCAAATTATCCATATTTATTTGTGAAGTTGAATCAAAGCTGGAGATGTTATTTCATGGTTTTGCTCATGACTGTGAACAGTTTGGCCAGGGTTTTTGCTAATGTGTAAGAATGGAGTAAAACTGCTGAGAAGAGGATGGTTGTGCAACATGGCAGAAAAGTAAGACACAGGGCTGAAGTGAAACTTGTTTGAAGCTTAATATTTCTGGTTATTTTCAACAAGACCTTAATTTAGGATGTACAATTTTAGACTTACTAATCTAAGAGTCTGAAATAGATCTTGAGTGTTTGCAATGTGCAATATTGACAGACTAGATATCTATTACAATTGCAAATACCCACTTTTTCCCTCAGGTACAATAACTCAAATAATGTGCAGTAACATGTCCAATTCTTTTTTTGTTCACTGTGAAGAACTGTTTTATTTTTTTGTTATTGTTGCTCACATTTTTTTCCCCTCGTTTTAACATTTAACATTTTTTTGTATAAGTCTAAGTTAACTTTTTATAATTATCTGTGCACTGTGTGCATGATGAGTTTACTTATTCTTCTTTGTTTGCTGTGCTGATCCGTTGTTGCTGTTAACAAACTTCCCACTGTGGGATGAATAGATTTTTATCTTATCTTATCTCATCAGTATATGTAAGTTACCAGTGTCCCATGGTAAGATGTAATGATAAAATGAAAAGACATAATCATGACAGAACCACATGTGTGATAGAATTTTAACTTACCTCATAATTATAAGATAAAATATGATCATGGTACCATTCTTGTCAAGGCTGAGCATTGCAGCTTTTCATGTCATTTGATTCATTTGTGGTCACTTTCTTATGTGTTCACTTACAGATAGTACAATGAAACTAAACAAAAAGTACACTGTTAACTGAAGTCAGTTAAAAACTAGGCTAAAACATTCTGTGGTAGTTCATCTCATACTGGAAAAATACATGAAAACACATTAGAGCAACCAGAATAACACTAAACTGAACTTCTCATAGTCAAACTTACATACAAACATACTTTGAATTGAATTTCTCTCACATACATATATGCACGCTTCAATCTGTGGGTTAACACAGGTCTTGGCTGTGTTAAATCCACTCCATGCCTTATCCCCTCCCTCTCTGCTATTTATGCCGCTGGAAGGAGCTGAGTTAGGGAGGGGGGATACTTAAACCAGGCTGCGCCACTCACTAAAATACCAAAGTGCGCTGGGGCATGCCTTATCGGCGTGGCGGACCTGACATACGCCTCTCCTGCGCCACGCCGCTGGCGAGGCACGAAAATAGAGCCCAATGTGTCAAATTCCACTGGCTTCTTTCCAGCCCCCTGCAGTTCAGCGCGCCTCGTAGCCAATTGCAAGGTTTCTATTTTTTTCCAGATGCTGCAGCATGCCACAGAAATTCAGCA